AAATTTATTGAATGAAAGTCTTCCGAGGAGTGGAGGAGGATAATCAAACTAGATTTTCCAGCTCTCTTGAAGATATGCTGAAACTGAATTGTTTGACTGTGCCATGTATCTTACCTGCTTTGTTGTTTACAAATCATTTGCTGGTTCTTGCTATACTATCACCTGCGATTATGTAATATTACAAGTGCGATGATTTTCCAGGATATTGAGGTGAACAATCGAAAGGTTAAAGTACATTATGGTAATGGGGTTTTCGATTATACTGCTTGGAGGAATCTGAGGGTGGGAGATATAGTGAGAGTAGAAAAAGATGAATTCTTTCCGACAGACCTCCTCTTGCTTTCATCCAGTTATGACGATGCAATCTGCTATGTTGAGACCATGAATCTTGATGGGGAGACAAATTTAAAGTTAAAACAAGCATTGGAAGTAACTTCGTTCTTACAGGAGGACTCTAACTTCAATGATTTTAATGCCATTGTTAAATGTGAAGACCCGAATGCAAATTTGTACTCGTTTGTCGGAACTATGGAGTTTGAAAAGCAACAGTTTCCCCTCTCTCCTCAACAGCTTCTCCTCAGAGACTCTAAACTCAGAAATACAGACTACATATATGGAGCTGTTATCTTCACTGGTCCCGACACAAAGGTTATTCAAAATTCTACTGCCCCTCCTTCAAAAAGAAGCAGAGTTGAGAAGAAGATGGATAAAATTATCTACTTCTTGTTCTGTGTTTTATTCATGATGGCATTTGTTGGGTCGATTTACTTTGGGATTGCAACGAAGGATGACCTAAACAATGGGATCATGAAAAGGTGGTATCTCAGGCCAGATAATTCTAGAATTTTCTTTGATGCTAAAAGAGCTCCGTATGCAGCAATTTACCACTTTTTGACAGCTCTAATGTTGTATGGCTACTTTATCCCCATCTCCTTGTATGTGTCGATAGAAATTGTCAAAGTTCTTCAGAGCATATTCATCAATCAAGATATTCACATGTACTATGAGGAAGCTGACAAACCAGCACTTGCCCGTACCTCAAACTTGAACGAGGAACTTGGCCAAGTTGACACGATTCTGTCTGATAAGACTGGAACTCTGACCTGCAATTCAATGGAGTTTATTAAATGTTCTGTGGCCGGAACAGCTTATGGCCAAGGATATACTGAGGTCGAGAGGGCTATGGGCAGGAGAAATGGTTCACCTTTGGTTCATCAACATTTAAGTGGTGGGGACAATCTCAAGGACACTACTGATACGAAGGCACCCATCAAGGGCTTTAATTTTAAAGACGAAAGGGTCATGAATGGAAACTGGGTTAATGAGCCTAATGCAGAATACATCCAGAAGTTTTTCAGTTTATTAGCAATCTGTCATACGGCAATTCCAGAAGTTGATGAAGCTAATGGGAATATTTCATATGAGGCTGAATCTCCTGATGAAGCAGCATTTGTGATTGCAGCAAGAGAACTTGGTTTTGAATTCTACAAAAGGACGCAAACAACCATATCACTGCGAGAGTTGGATCCAGTGTCCGGCAAGAAAGTTGAGAGGTTCGTATATTTCATTGTTTTTCTGATAAGTAGGACTTATATCTGTGCTGGTACTCTTATTAAGTATGCAGCGAGTATATTCATCGAGTGATGTCTTTTTTTTTGCAGGACGTATAGCCTTCTCAATGTTTTAGAGTTTAACAGCACAAGGAAGCGAATGTCTGTGATTGTCAGAAGTGAGGAAGGAAAAATACTATTACTTTCCAAAGGTGCCGACAAGTAAGTGCTTATTGCCTTAAACTTGAATCTCTCCTTACTTCATACTGCGAATTTTAACTGTTTTGTCTAACCTGCATAACTTATTTTCTATCCAGTGTTATGCTTGAAAGGCTTGCCAGAAATTGTTCGGATTTTGAAGAAGAGACCATGGAGCATCTAAATGAGTATGCTGATGCAGGGCTGAGGACCTTGATTCTTGCCTACCGTGAACTTGAGGAAGATGAATACAAAGAGTTCAATCAAAATTTTATCAAGGCCAAGAATTCAGTTAGTGCAGAACGCGAAACAGTCATCGATGAAGTAACAGAAAAGATTGAGAGAGATCTAATTCTTCTTGGTGCAACTGCTGTTGAGGACAAACTACAAAATGGGGTATGTAGTCAAATACTGATGGGGTAACATGAGAGTTTCTTTATGGACAATATCAGATTTTGAATTAATGAACTTTAAAATTCTTTGGTCAGGTTCCTGATTGCATTGACAAGCTTGCCCAAGCAGGAATTAAGATTTGGGTTTTGACTGGAGACAAGATGGAGACTGCCATCAATATCGGGTTTGCATGTAGCTTGCTTAGACAAGGAATGAAGCAAATTGTAATCACTTTGGAGTCTCCGGATATTAAAGCGTTGGAAAAGGAAGGAGAAAAGGAGGCCATCGCCACGGTAAAACCGTATACATATAGTTGAATTTGTTTCTGCATTGAAAACGGAATTTGTAGCTTAATACTCAGGGAAGTAAAACAGTGTTCTTGAAAAATATAATAGTACCTTAATAATGTTGCTAATACGATATTTTCTGATTCATCATTAGGCATCAAAAGGAAGTGTTCTCAATCAGATAATTAGGGGAAAAGCTCAGCTTACAGCGTCGAGCAGGAACTCTGAGGCATTTGCATTGATCATTGATGGAAAATCACTTGCTTACGCTTTGGAGGATGATGTAAAGAATTTGTTTCTAAATCTTGCAATTGGCTGTGCATCTGTTATTTGCTGCCGTTCATCACCTAAACAGAAGGCACTGGTGCGTTTACAAATTATAATAATCTTTTTCTTTTCTGTACCTACATAAGTATTTTCTTATATCATGGTCAGAAAAGAATTAATTTGTTTTCAATGGTGAAATGAAAAATAGGTCACTAGACTGGTAAAATCTGGAACTGGGAAAACAACACTAGCGATCGGTGATGGAGCCAATGACGTGGGCATGCTCCAAGAAGCAGATATCGGGGTTGGAATTAGTGGTGTTGAAGGAATGCAGGTACTGTACAGATTCTTCCACTTGTTTAACCGAACATTAATTTTTGTTTTGCTGTATTTTTCACTAAACTTTTGTCTCATGAACTTTCCATGCTTATTTTTCAACTCAGGCAGTCATGTCAAGCGATATTGCTATTGCACAGTTCCAATACTTGGAGCGTCTACTGCTTGTGCACGGGCATTGGTGTTACAGAAGGATCTCATCAATGGTATGGATGTCATATACCATGAAACAAACTTGAGATTTTAGAATCTCGACACTTATTTTAAATTATCACAGGCGAAAACTGATGCATCACTATAAATTGACGTGTGCAATTTTCTTCTTGCAGATTTGCTACTTCTTCTACAAGAACATTGCATTTGGTTTCACTCTCTTCTTATATGAGGCACACACATCCTTCTCTGGAACGCCTGCATACAACGATTGGTTTTTGTCACTTTACAACGTATTCTTCTCTTCACTTCCGGTGGTTGCTATGGGAGTTTTCGACCAGGATGTATCCGCGCGGTTCTGTTTCAAGGTAAGCTCACTGGGTTACGTGTGAAATTACGTTTGGACTAACATACTTAATTTCAAGCCTTTTGAAACTGTTGGGATTTATTGTTTATCCTGTTTTGTGCCGCAGTTTCCTCTATTATACCAAGAAGGGGTGCAAAATATTCTCTTCAGCTGGCGTAGAATATTCGGATGGATGTTGAATGGGTTTACAACGGCAGCGATTATCTTCTTCTTCTGCACGAAAGCTCTAGCACACCAGGCCTTCAATAACGAGGGCAAAACTGCCGGAAGGGATATCCTCGGGGCAACGATGTACACGTGCACGGTTTGGGTTGTGAACTTGCAGATGGCACTTTCCATCAGTTACTTCACCTTGATACAGCACCTCTTCATCTGGGGTTCAATTGCACTATGGTATCTCTTCCTCTTGGCGTACGGCGCCATGTCACCTTCACTCTCCACCACTGCCTACAAAATCTTCATCGAAGCCCTCGCCCCCGCGCCTTCTTTCTGGCTCATCACAATCTTCGTGCCAGTCTCCGGTCTAATCCTATTCTTCACATACTCGGCCGTTCAAATGCGGTTCTTCCCTATGTACCATAGAACGATACAACGGATACGGTACGAGGGAACATCAAATGATCCCAAATTTTGTGACATGGTGCGGCAGAGATCGTTGCGGCCGCAGACTGTTGGTTTCACGGCGCGACTGGCGGCGAGGGCCAACCGTATAAAAGATAGACACCATAACCGTAGATAAGTTTTGTATGCTTCTTGTTTGGTATAGGTGGTCTCAAAAATACCAGCTTCTTCAATCTCTCCCAAGTTTTGGAACTCTGCGTTTTGTACATCATCGGGTTGCATATAATATTATACAACAAAATTCTTTGGTTCAAATTTGTTCTGGGATTGGGCCCTTTTAGCTAGATAATTACTTTGTACAGAAGCACTTGAGCTGTGTTAGATTTAGAGCGTGTAAATTTTGATACAAGGTGAAAAAAATATGTTGCTTCAATCTCTCCCAAGTTTTCTTCTGCAAATTTCTGTTTTTTTCTTCTCAGGAATTCTCCCCTTTCCTTTTCTCGATAATAAAAATGAACGCTAAAACCTGAAATGAAATGATTATCAAACGGCTCTTAGTTTTTGAAAAATGAGATGTTTTTCTCGTATTAATGACATAAGAAAGAAAATCGAGATGGAGAAACCATTAGATGATGAACATTAAAGAAAATCCAATGCCATTATGCTGTTAATCCAAAATCGTTCATCCTTTCTTTAAAAAGTAATTTCGTACTCTAATGTTTATGTAAGAAGAGATTCTTAGTTATCATTCCTCGGTTGTATATCTCTGCGTTTATTTCTCACGGAATATACAACTAATTTCGAGATAGATTCTCGAATCTCTCTCACCATGCATGAGACCAAGTTCACGTTGCATTACCAAATCATATTCCAAGAGAGAATTAAGAATGACATGCATATTAACACAAATTATTATTTATACAAAAATACTTACAAGATTTTTTTGTAATTAGTTGGTAATTCTGATCTTAATTAACTAAAAGAGCCTTGATTAGCATGTCTCCAACATTATTTTAATCAAAGTATATACTTTCTCTTCGTTCTTCTTCCTTTTCTTCAGACACAAGAAATCCTATATAATTGCCCTAAAAAACCCACACAAGAAAAAATAAAAATAAAAATAAAAATAAAAGTCAGCGAGAAAAGTCAAACAATCCAGAACCCATCATACCCGCGCCAGAGCCGGTCAGAGCCCAAGAAAATCAGCGGCGGACCGAGACATGATCGTCGCGAATTCGTTGAAACTAATGACGCCGTCGCCGTTCGTGTCGGCCTCCATCATCATATCGGAGAGCTCCCTGTACGTCAAGGGGTGGCCCATTTTGGCCATGGAACCGGCGAGCTCGGCGGCGGTGATGTAGCCGTTGCCGTCGCGATCGAAGGATCGGAAGACCTCCATGAGCTGCTCCTGGTTGATCAAAATCTCCTCGTTCATGTCGGGGAGGATGGCGGTGACGAGCTCGTCGAACTCAATGGCGCCGTTGCCGTTGGCGTCGATGTTGGAGAGGAGGACGTGGAGCTGGTCGCCGGTGGGCTTGAGGCCGAGGGAGCGGAGGAGGGCGGCGAGTTCGAGCTGGGTGAGGCTCCCGTCGGAGTCCATGTCGAACCGCATGAAGATGTCCTTCAGCTGCTTCAGCTGATCGGATCCGAGCGCGGCCATCATTATTGTAATGGCGGCCGAGAAGAAGAAGAAAGGGATCGAGAGATCCAGACGACTATAATTTTGTGTTTTTTTGGAGTTTAATTTGGGATTTTGTTTTTTTTGGGTTGATTGGTTTGAGATTTTGAGGTTTCTTTTTGTTTGTGTTTTTGTTTGTTTGTTTGTTTTTGTTTTAATTTTTGTTGTGTTTGGATTAAAAGTTGAAAAACCGAAAACGCGTTTTTGCTAGAGTTGATTAATATTTTGCTACGTGGTTATGTATTTGGGATTTGGGGGATGCTACTTAGTAGGGGTTGTTTGTTGATTAACCATATTTAGGAGGACTTAAACGTGTTTTTCTATTTTGGCAATAGAGTGTTGATTTGTAGGTTTCGAACTAAATTCTACGTATTGGTGTGTGTGGGTGAGGTAGGTTCACCAAAATAACATATTTATTCTGATGCACTCGAGTTTGATGTCAATTTTCACGAAAATAAAAATAAAACTCATGCAGAGGTGTTTAGCCCAAAAGTTAACTTGGATAACTTTTATTATGCCCCATCAAGAACATGCCCCGGCCGTGACAAGTGTTAAATTATTTCGAGTTAACCAGGAATTTTTTAATGTATCGGGAACACAGTCCGGTATATTAAGTGTTATAATACAAAAAGTTTTTTTTTTTTTAAATAGAAAACTACTTAAATTATAACGCTTGGTGTGCCGGGTCGTGTTTCCGGCACACTGAAAAATCTTTGAGAATTAACATAATTGGGTGAGGAATATTTGAGATTCAATTTGAAGAATTTATGTGATGTGGAATTTTCAATTTGTAAGTATCATGAACATATTTACAAAGTTGACATAGTTCGGTAGTGTTATGTAGACGTGTGACAATATTTCAAAGTGAAAAAAAACAAAAGATTTATTTGAAATTTATAAGGATGATGTCATTACATTCGAGAAGTAAGATAAGGATATCTAAGCCTTCGATTTGTATCAAGAGATATCATATATATGCATATGGGATTAATTTTCGTACTGGAACTGACAATGAAACTACTCGTCAGTCTGCACTTGTTCTCATGCGATTAATTATGTGACGAGAGATGATATGTGATGCGAGATGCAAAAAAATAAGATACGTACGAAACACGTTGTATGGTAAGTTTTTTGGCGATTGATTAGCTACCTAGCTTTAAGATCAATAGCTGAGAGAGCCACCATTTCAATCAAGTGATATTGCAAAAAACTAGTATCAAACTGATCACAAATTGATGAATTTTGAGTTGGGGAGCGACCCAATTTTCCCCTACGCCAAAAGCTTCCAAATCCAAACTCTCCTCTCTGAGACAACTCCTGCAGCACCTCCTCCACCTCCTCCATGCAACGCCTGCAACTATGTCCTGCATCCATGGAAGATCTCATAGACTATCCAGCCATACTCACAAAGTCGACATCTTTACATGTATCCAGCACTATCATCTCCTTTCTCCTTCTCTGTTGGAGCTTCTTCACGGTGTACTCTCTCGTCTTTCGGATCAACTTGCACGGGAGCTTGTACAAGATAAAGATGGTGATTTGGAGGATCAAGCACTGGCTGCAGCACGAAATCACGACGCAGTCTGCGGGCGGTCATGTTGCAGTCTTCCATGGCTGCGAAAATCGGGAGGAAAGGAGAGGTGGTGGTGGAGAAAACAGTTTAAAGAAGTCTTCATGCCCCGGTGGTGGTGGGGTTAAGGAAGAAGTTCCTTGCCTTTGTGGGAGCTAGGTAATAGGAAGGGCGACTTCAATCATTGATGTGGCATTGTATGAGTCATGACTTCAATCATTGTATCCAATTTAATATTTTTTTTTTCTTTCTAAAGCGAAGTTCTAATTTAATTTAAACTATGACAAGCAGACTCGAACGTGATATATTAAAATATTAGGATGTGAAAGGGAAGCATAAAAGCGGAATACCTCGATTTCATTCATCCAGTCAAAGAAAGCAAACGCAACCGCCTTGAAAGACCAAGAGCGGACCATCGAGACTTTGGGAAAGAATTAGGGGAAGAAGGGCCCACGGGTGGCGAATGGGAAGGTCGAAAAGTTGGAAGGAGGATATAACTTGGCTTCTACTTCTCCTTGGTGGAAGATTTCTTTGATGGTTTTAAGCATTTCCATACAAGGTGTCACAGAACTGTCCTTCAAACAAACCCTCCCCCTTTATATTTGCAAACCCAGTTCACATTGTACCCCAAATATTTTAGCACGCGACGTTTGAGACACTTGTAAGAATATATCCCCGGGTATACTCAAGATTTCCGCGTTTCTGAGGGTGATAGGGCAGCCTGCAGGCTGATTTTACGAGCTGGCAAAGTTTAGAACAACATTCAGACTCCTGTAGGTACTTCCATGAAATTGTGACGCATCCTATTTGCAACTGAAAGATGAGTACGTATTTTCGATCTGAGATTGTCGCGTATAAATCACAATACATGGAGTTGTGACACAGCAAAAGAGAGAAGAATAGGATCCATGGTCAACAAAAATGAATTGTTACCTCTATAACACCACCAAAAATATTGGTGGGTGCAACAAGATCATCTTACAAAGGCTAAATAATTACAGGGGCTGGATCTTTACAGGAAGGATGGAACGAATGCAGTCTCCACATCCGATGCAGTCAGTTCCGGTTGCTGGAAGATCGGGGTTCCAGCTGAGCGAATCCAAATCTAGCTCAATTTGGCAAAAACCCTTTTCAGTTCAGTGTTTAGCTCTCCGAATATGTACTATACCTCTCCGCTAAAAAAATCTGTACTGTAATTTTGACTACCGAATGCCATTCTTCGGAACAACCTAATTTCAGCTGACTGTTGTGCCGAGTCAAATGCCTCACTTTCCCCCACTCTCATTCCGTTGTTTATATCAGAAGCAGCGAAACTATCAAAAGCTCTAACAACCTGAGGAGAGTGAGAACGATGATGTTAGTTTACGCTGGTGTAATGAATGAATTCACATTGTAAGGAAATTTCAGCTTCTTATTACCTGTCCCATTCGTGGTCTCTTAGCAGATGAATGTCGCACACAAGCAGCAGCAATCTCGATCATTCTGAACATTTCAGTATCCACATAATTCTTTTCGAGCCTTGGATCTGCCACGCCGTCAAAATCCTCATTATCAAGAGCATAACTCAACAACGGCCGAGCCTGGAAAGTAAAATGCGTCTCTTGTCAGGAAAGCTTGGGTTTGACCTTCTAACATTCAGTTGGTTAACTATATGGTTTTATTTCATTCTATAACTATGATGCGTCTTGAGTCTCACATCTTACTCATGCATTTATCCATGCACTTCTGAAAAAATTGAAATGAATTCACAACGAAGGCGAGACTAACTAAATTGTACCCCCCGAATCCACACAATTATTGACAGCATAATCAGAGAGTAGTAATCATTTCATGCATAAATATTTCCTTCTTTAGGACGATTCTGAAGTTTTATTTCATTCCTTGCTTAAAAACCATAGGGTCAGAAGATCTAATTCTCAAAATTGAGACTTCAAAATATTCGACCGGAAAAATCAAAATCTTATTATCGGTTGAAGCAAAGCAATATAAACACTGCAGCATGATATGACCAGTATGACAAGAGGATGTTAAGTTTACCCATTCTACTAGACTCTCATCTCCCAAGGGTTGGGATGGATCTACAGGCTTCCTTCCAGTGATCAACTCCAGAAGCACAACTCCATAAGAGTAAACATCAGACTTGTCAGTCAATTTCCCACTTGATGCATATTCAGGAGCCACGTATCTGAAAATCAACCGGAATCAATACATTATCAGGCTTGAAAGGTATGTTTGTGATGACGGTATAAACTAAAATCTAGAAGAACCCTCAAGAATAGGTTTGATACAAGCGGAAAGCATACGAGCCAACACTAGATTGCTGACGTACCCAAACGTTCCCATCACACGTGTGCTTATATGCGTATTTGAATCAAGAGCTAATTTGGCAAGTCCAAAATCCGAAACCTTTAAAGTAAGGAAACCATTAGCTACATTTTAACCAAAATATAGAAGTACTGAAACGTGCTCTGAGTGAAATTATGTTGTACCCGAGCTTCAAAGTTGTTATCCAAAAGAATGTTTGATGACTTTATGTCCCTGTGAATAATTCGAGGATGACCTGACATTAGACAAATGAAATCAAACTTAGTCAACAAAACATTTCCAGTTAAATTATGTGACCCAAAAACCTATTGTATGAGGATATAATAACCGAAACATTCAGGATTCAGCTATTAGAATCCAGAAACTAAAGGTAGAAAATTACAGTCTTCATGAAGATAAGCGATCCCACGAGCTGCACCAGCAGCAACCTTAACACGTGTTGCCCACTCCAGAACTGGTCTACCTTCTCCTGAAAATTGCAAGGTGCAAAACATGAGATTACTGAACCATTATCACTAACTGTTTCTTCAAAGCTCTGTTATGGATTTACCATGAAGGTGAAAATAAAGGGTATTGTTAGCGACATATTCATAGACAAGCAGCCTTCGGTTATCAGAGATGCAGTATCCCACCATAGAAACCAAATGGCGGTGATGTATGCGACTAATAGTCTCAACTTCGGCCTTGAATTCTCGCTCGCCCTGACTCCCTCCAATTTTTAGTTGTTTTACTGCCACATCTCTCCCATCTGGTAGGCATCCCTTATAAACACAACCAAATCCGCCTTCTCCCAAAAGATTTTGAGATGAAAAGCCATTTGTGGCCTTAGCCAGTTCTTCAAAAGTAAACCATGGCCTTGAATTGCCAACTCCTGCTTGTTCTGGTGGAGGACTTAAGATCTCACTGCTAGAACGGCTTCCAATAAGGGGAGCTGAAGAATGCACCTTCAAGAAGGATGAATCTGGAAACAAGTTACAGAAACCTTCTTAATTCATTTAAATGACCTCAAATTTGTGGACAGACAGAATACAACGGTTTATATGAGCTGATTAATTTATCCCATACCCTGATCTTAGTGAGGCTAAATAAATTCCTAAAAAGTACGTTGAATTCATTGTAATTTAGAAACAATAAACGGAAAATCCCACATTCATACGAAGTGAATAACATAACAAGAAATCAATTGTGTTATATACGATAGAAGTTACCTGATGTTGGGGATGAACCCAGAGAGGATTGCTTAGCATAACCTTCAAACCCGGATACTTTTTTCCTTTGCCTCCTCATGCACCATACAACCAATCCAATGAGGCTAAGCACTACTGCACCTACCAGTACAACAATTGCCACTACGCCTCCGGTATCAATGCCATTGGAATTTGAACTTTGTGGTGCCTTCGGACTGGAAGTGTTTGTTGGTGAACTTGGAATTTGAGGGGGTGCAGGCGGAGAAGCCTGTGAGGGGGGAGGTGGTGCCAGTCCTATAATGGGTGGTGGAGGTGAAGTGGTTGGTTGAGAACCAGGTGGGGTGGGAGGAGTACGGCTAGGAGGTGGGGGCGCTTTTCTGGGAGGTACTGATGCTGGTGGAGGAGGTGAACTTTCAGGGGGGTTTGATGCTGGTGGTGAAGGTGAACTTTTGGGTGGCACAGATGCTGGAGGTGGGGGTGAATTCCCTGGTGGGTCTGATGGTGGCGGCAGTGGTGAAGTTTTGGGGGGACTTGATGATGGAGGCGGAGGTGACTGCTCAGGTGGCTTTGATGATGGCGGCGGTGGTGGTGAAGTTTTGGGGGGACTTGATGATGGAGGCGGAGGTGACTGCTCAGGTGGCTTTGACGATGGTGGCGGTGGTGGTGAAGTCTCAGGGGGATTTGTTGATGGAGGTGGAGGAGACTTCTCAGGTGGCTTTGATGATGGTGGCAGTGGTGGTGAAGTCTCAGGGGGATTTGATGATGGAGGCGGAGGAGACTTCTCAGGTGGCGGTGGTGAAGTTTCAGGCGGCTTTGAAGAAGATGGAGGTGGACTCTCAGGTGGTTTTGACGATGGTGGGGGAGGTGAACTCATTGGTGGGGGAGATTGCGGCGGTGGAGGTGAACTTGCAGGTGGATCAGATGTCGGTGGTGGTGGAGAAGGCGAACTTTTCGGTGGAGTCGATGATGGAGGGGATGGAGGGGATGGAGTTGATGATGGAGGGGGTGGAGAACCAGAAGTTGTTGGAGGTGTACCGGATGATGGTGGGGGTGAAGAATCAGAAGCTGGTGGAGGTACATTGGAGGGAGGCAGAGGCGGCGAGGTTGGCGGTGAAGCAGATTGTGGAGTTGGAGGAGGTGTTTGTATAGGAGGTGGTGATGATGTAGTTGGAGGAGGAGCTGATAGGACAACAGGTTCTGGAGATTGAGCTGTGGCGTTAGAGGACTCTGGTGGAACCAAATTCCGCTGAGAAGACGGTGTCGGTGTGGTGGTTAACGGTGGTTGTGGCGGAGGTGTTAAAGTAGTATCAGAAGCTGGCGGCACGGCGGATGGAGACGAATTTGGAGATGGCGACGTGGTTGCCATCTTATTACACCAAAATCAAGTGATGGATACCATACAACTCACCCACCATAACCTTCAATCAATCATGAAATCTTCGAACTTTTCACAAAATTCAGAGCTTTCATACAAAAGCCAAGATTTTGAGGAAACCCCAAGTCACAAATTTCAAGTCTTTGTCAAACCAACATCTCCAAAAACTTAAAAAAAAATGGAACGCCCCAAGTTCCCCACCACCAAACTCCACCAACCAAACACCTCTAAAACCTCGAACAACTCTTTTGTGATCAAAATCCCAGAAACCCAACTCAGAAACCAGGTTTTCCAGATCACTAACTTCAAAAGTGAGATATATTTCTCTCTCTACAGAAATCAAATTAGCAATCTTTCTCTAATGTGAACACTTGAAAATCCAAACTTTTAGTGACCAAATGCAGCAGAAGCAGCAATATTATCAAAAGCTGGTACTAAAATTCAAACCCCAGATGGTGAAATCCGGAAGGACTTACCTTTAACTTCGTCAAAGGCGGACAAACAAAAATCGTAAACTTTTGATCTCTTGAAACTTCCTCGTCTCTCGGGCACTGGAAGCTCACCACACAGGGAGGAGAGTCGGGGACACGGATTGTGGGGTCCCCAAAATGAGTGAAATCGACTCGCAAAGAATAATTATTATAGTTTGACGCTATTTTCCAAAATCTTATTTTGTTTTGGTTGAATAAAAATAATAAATATTGACAGATTAACGTGTTTGGATTTTTTCTTAACGTCCATTTAGTTCGACGCAACGTTAACGCATTGTGCTATTTGGTCATTGCCCCTTAAATATTTAGTGTTTGGAGTTTTTCCACTTGTTTGCTTTCAAATATCCTATATATTCGATAAAAAAAACAATATTATTTTTTGTTGAATATAGATAAATAATATATTTTAAAATAGTATTTGTAAAATAATATTTTAGAAGGAATAAATAATAATATGACATTCCTCTTGTGATTTTTAAATGGAGAGAAATATCTTAATATTAGTGGGGTAAATTCCCTGCCCAAATCTTCGAAGTCTGAAAGGGGATGAGAGAGATTGGTTTTTGTGGGGTGTGATTACGTAAGCTGTCATATAAAGTAGAATGATTCCACTATTAAGATGATTAGATTCGTAAAATACTCACCTTCCTAAGATGTTGAATTTGTCTTAAACACAATTTAATACTATATAAATAAATAGAATAATCACTGTGCTTAATTAATACGGCTGTAGTGTTTTGGAGTTTACTTGTGGAGCCACGTCCTTGACTCCATTCGTTAATGCCAACAAATCCAGCTTAGTCAGTCTATCTCTCCTTTTAAATAGGATATGAGAACAAAATTTTAAATTAAATTTACAAAGAAAAAAAAGTACATTAATCAATATTTAATTATAATCAAATCGTTTACACAATTTGATTTAAGCTCTGAATTGTCTATCTTTTAGGTATTCCCTAAAAAATCATCAAAATACGTCTACCAAAAACCCACCCAAATCTAAAATCATATGAGTGTTGGATTAAGGGTTTAGGGTTTCTTTGTAGAGCTGTATTCGTCCATTTCCTTCACTACAAATAAATGTCTTTATGGTTTTGAATTTATCTAATTTGCAAGAATGATCAATGAATGATGTTCCAAAATATGAACGATTCAAATCCTTAAAATACATAACAAAGTAAACCATAAAAAACACGTAAAAAAATTGTGTGAAGAAAAAATGATGTTGCAGATTCCCCCTGTATATATAATATAATAATATACACATATCAAATATATGTGTATATTATTTTGTTTTATTGAGAATTCATTAGCCATCGGGTCCCCTATCAAATATATGTCGCATTGTTTAGCACATAGTATTATGATTATTGAAATAGCGGCTGTAATCTGGTGGGGCCGGCCCGCCATGGATTAAGATAACTAATTTTGTTTTGTGTTGGGATTCTATAATTTATTAGGAGGAGCATCAGCATGCAATGCAGACAGTGAAGGTAAGAGGAGTGGGTCTCCGTTCCGTCTCTCTTAACATAAGATGTCTGCAGAAATTGGACAAATATTTCAAAGTGGAGGTGGTGGTGGTGGGGTCATGTGCTCGAATTATTCCCCCCATCTTTGGATGCTTTTTCTGCGCTGCGGCCCCGTGAAGCTCCTCCACGTACCTGTTGCTGCTGCCCCGTGAGGCTGCTGCCCCGTGAAGCTCCTCCACCATCATATTCATATCATATGGATATGGGAATAGGATCCTCTCTGAGAGTGCATTTTTGCTCACCACCATTTAGTGTGGTGTATGCTCACCATCATATTTATCACCATTAGATGAGTTTGAATTTCGAGATTCGTGTAGTAGATAAGTACAAATCTCGAAATTCAAACTCATCTAATGGTGATAAATAGGATGGTGAGCATACACCACACTAAATGGTGGTGAGCAAAAATACTTCCCCTCTCTGATCCAACGATCATAAATTATTTTACTTTTTATTTGCTTTTTCGTTGGAAATGAATGACTACTTATATGTAAACATCGAGAAAAGTAAGATCTCTTCTTTTATGTACTAAGTTTGAATTCCCTCGTCATAATTTAAAATTAACGGCTCCTTTATTTCTTTAAATTGAAATTTTAAAGTTAAAATATTTGCATGAGATTAATTAACCTAAAAGGATTTCTATGTCGGTAAGTGGGTTCCATTTTTTTGGCGAAGGGAAAACTTTTTTCAAGCATCGAGAAAGTGTCGACGTGGCCTTGCGGATAAAAAGCAAAAGTAAATCCGAGATACAAGGCACACGTGCGCACACTATTAATTCTCTCCTGCCCAAATGATGACGTCATGATAAAGAAAAGCCCAAATCTAGTGAAAACACACATGCAACTTGCAACCAAAAATAACGTGGAGGTTCCCAAACCCTAATCCCTGCACAATTGACCTCGTATTCCCAACAGGATCCTCTTCGGATTTTTTTTTATGAGAATTCTGAAGATCCGTGAATTGTGTCCGTTCATCGTCTATTGTGTTATTAATTTTTATCAAGTACTATTTATGTTTATTTTTAAATAAAAACATTTAAACTAATTTATAATCATACGATGTATGATGAACGGACACGATTCATGGATTTCCAGATCATCACAAAGAGGATCAGGCGAGAATCCGGACTCCTCATATTCTTGCATATCATTGTTCAAACGATGCCATGTGTCGTGTAAGATATTACGGTATCATAAGCCAATCACGCCATGTCAAGATTGAGTTACCGCAAACAAGACGTAACATCAAATGCCTAGATAAGTTTCTCTAATCGGTGTATTTTCAGTACATGGAAAAGAAACTAACTAATTGGAAATTGAAAAACGGTTAGTACTGAACTAACTTGAAGTAGAAGGCTCACGGAAACAACCCTTTCGAGTGTTGTGTTCAGGCAACAGCTTCATCTAGTTGAATTTAGAATACCTTTTCTTCCACCAGGGCCTCCATGGATGTACGCTCGGATTGCACAGCTGCAAATGCCGATCTTACTGGGTGCTCTGGGTTCTGCAATGGAAGATCGTTGTTTTCCTTTTATGTGAGAAGACGAAAATGGTTAACAAGGAACACGCGCAGCTGGGTGACGGCCAACTTCTAAAAGGAGGCTTGGCATCGAATGTTACTACATGAAGAAATCAGTCGCGAGTATTGCCCAACCGTGAATCTCTTCTAGCAATGATCTCAGCTGCCCAACTCTTTCCTAGTTCAGTTTGGAATTTGCCTGGGGAAACAAAAGTCAAACAAAAAATAATAGTTACAAACAGCAGAAAACACAAATTTTCCTTCTCTAATTAGCATCAATATAAATTGATCTACCTGCTGTCGAAATGAAGAACTCATCCAGCACCTTTCCGTGTTCTGTTACAGGAATAAAAATATCAAACGAGGAAGACAAGAAAGCCAACAAAGTTACAGCAAAAGAGTGAAACACTTTACCCATTTCGTATTCCAATGCTTGCAGAATCATTTCAACCTGGACAGAATTGCATAACATATTAAACGGAGGGAAATCTTAAGAAATAGTGGAAGGTCAGAAAGGTCTATATCTGTAACTCGTATCTGCCCATATAAGCATGCAGCACATACACAAAAGTAGGAATGAGTAAATTTCTAATTTCAAGTTGTTTTGCTACCTAAAGAACTAAATTAGACATTTCATCTGTATGCCTAATATATTGAAGCATGTTCATATAACATTAAATGCGAATGTCAATATATGCGTACTTTGTCAAAATCTTTCACAAGATTAGCCTCTATGGACGAATTATTTTCATACTCCAACCAAAGATCTTTGATCTCTTCAGCTGCAGATAAGAACATTACAGTTAATGCAATTCCGGAAGTGAATATTTTCAGATAATCAAATAGTTCCATGAAGATAAGAATTAATGATCACCCCTAATCCCTCCACCGAGAACTAAACACATTTCATCCAATGCTTCTTGCTCCATTTTGCTCTTTACTGCTTTCGGTACACCATCAGATGGTGTTATATCTCCAACAATAGCTGAGAATAGTCCAAAAGCAATCTAACATCAAAACACATTGCTATACATATGCATGTGTACGTGTGTGTGCGAGTGCGCGAGTATGTACATATGTGTATCTGTAGAAAGACAGATGCACACAACACATGCATGTCTGACAATGAGTCTGCGGCAAACATAACAACACATTCTAAAATGATAACATAAGCAGGATTGCTAAAATCACAACAAGAAAACCTTATTCTGTACATAGGAAAAACTAACGACATATTTAACAAATTTAGTTTTTACGGTAAAAACTAAAAATGAACTACCCAGTGTGCCCTAATAACACTCCAATTGTATTAGTATTACCATACGAAGTGAGGGTCATGAACTTTTCCAGAAACTTCACTTCAAACCAGCAAGCCAAGCATGCACAATTACCTTTCTTATATGCTAAAGTACAGTTTTTCTATTTTTCAGCTAGCTAATCTTAGCATCATCATAAAGTAGCATGGCTACCACAAACGTAAAAAGAATATAACTTTAATGTCTATTACAACTAAAGCTGATTCTTAGATAGAATCACACTAAACTCCGATTTTGGGAAACATGATACAGAAATAACGTGAAAGAACAAGGGAACAATAGATACCTTCTGCGATGTCATGCACAATTGCTATCTTGATACACCTGTTCAAATAAGGGAAGGCAAAAAAGAGAAATTAAGGTACTGCAAACAAAAAAGTCCAAGTCGTATATCGATTACCAGTATAATCAAGCAAGGTCGATTAGAAAATGATAAAGAGTATAGGCTATTATATAGCATCACAAACTTCAACCTTTCTCTATTCAAGCCTGGAACGCCACCAGCAATCAAAGACATCAAAGCCATGCGGTACATATGATCTGCGATGGACTCTGGACCCTTTATTCCCTGATTGATCCAACCCTTCCTTTTTGTGGTCTACAAGAGAGAGGGAGATGATATCGTGAATCTCCTCGCAATTCATACCGTGAAGACATTATATTTACACCGCTACTATTACTTCGCAGTTTGCAGAAATCATTTTGATCTTCATTAGAAAATCATATCATAGTTTTAAAACTAAAGTTACTAAATCCTTCCCAGTATGTCGCATCTTTCACAACCCAATTCAATTTCTTCAATTTGTCTTACTTAGCATATGGATTGTATTCCGAATCATCTCAATAAAGATTTTCACAATGTGAAACATGCAGTTCAATTCAAGCATCCATCTTTGTTTGGTAGCTGAGAAAATTCGTAAGTACCTAAAAGTTTTAACTTTCCCACCACCTACCACCCACCTAATCTCTCAAATTGCAACACAAATTTTCAATCTTTAAACAACCGCAGAACACATATACAAACAATTTTCCAACTTTTCATTTTCTCGGTAGCCAAACAGATAGAAAACAAGCAGAATTAGTGCGTACCTTGAGACGGTGACACAATGTGAGAAAATCAATGGCGGAGGACGCGGATGAAGAATCCGAGGACCCGATCGAAGCTTCGGATTCGTCCAAACTCACTGAGCGCTTGGACGCGAAGCCGTCCGGACTGGGCGTCTGACAACGAACGGAGACGAGCCTGGCGGCCGGGACTTCGGTGGAAAATCGGGGTCTGGAGAAGGTCCGATTGAAGAAAGCGAGAGGCGAACGAGGTGGAACAGAGCGGGTCAGTGGGGGCCGCGCAGCGGGTTGGGGAATTAAGCGCCATAATTCCCTGAGATTGAAACCAACGATCAGCTCTGTCGAGGAATTTCTTTTGCTTCCCGAAATATATACTTCTTATTAATTTTTTTTTCTTTCACACTTATTATTTTTATTTGATAAAATTAGAATCTCCCTTTTTTTTTCGAAAAAAACTTGTGTAGAGCTTAATTTGTTAGTAAATTATGCTGAGTAATCTTTGTAGACATCGAAATTTCGTAAATAAATGTTGACCGATAAATCAAAGTGTCAACGCTCATGTATTACATAAATTTTACACGTAGCGTGTGATTCAACGAAAATTGAAATGAGTTGGAAAAGTCATCAAATAGGACACGTGTCAACACCTGGCAGAAACGACTTATTTCATCTGGAATATTATATTCAAAATTAGGCCTTGGAAAATTCTATAAATACAAGCCCATTTCATTCATTTAAAGGGACCAATTCATATTACACCTGGAAGCTCTGAAGCTCTGAAACTCCGAAGCTCTCAAGCATCCAGGTTCCCGAAGAATCAAGAAAGTGTTCTTCGTTCTTCGTTCATCGTTCTCCCAAGATCAAGCCTCGACGGCCCTTGGATCAACAATCATCCACCTTCAAGATCAAGCCCCGACGGCCTTTGAAGAAAGCGTTCTTCATTCTTCGTTCATCGTTCTTCCAAGATCAAGCCCCAACGGCCCTTTGGATCAACAATCATCCACCAATTCAAGATCAAGCCCCGACGGCCCTTGAAGAAAGTGTTCTTCGTTCTTCGTTCATCGTTCATCGTTCTTCCGAGATCAAGCCCCGACGGCCCTTGGATCAACCATCTACCAATTCAAGATAAAGCCCCGAAGGCCCTTGAAGAAAGCACCATCGTTCATCATCCGTTCATCCAAGATCAAGCCCCAACGGCCATTTGGATTAACAACGTCGACAAATCCACACATCCAACCGTTCTTCAAGATCAAGCCCAAAAGCCCTTGAAGATCCGTTCATCACTGTTCTTCGAGATCAAGCCCAAAGGCCCTCGAAGATCCGTTCAAGCCCAAAGGCTCTCGAAGATCCGTTCGTCACTGTTTTTCGAGTTCAAGCCCAAAAGCCCTTGAAGATCCGTTCATCCTCGTTCATCCAAGATCAAGCCTCGACGACCCTTGGATCAATCGCACATCCCACAAATCAACACCTTACGGAGATCGAATCAGAGGATCAAAATAGAGAGAGATTGTAACCCAAAATCATCAAAAATACAAATATTTGTTTGTGCACGTTGTTCTTGTCTCTTTCGTTTTAGGAATTTTCCGTGTTTACAAATTGGCACGCCCAGTGGGACGATCTCTACCTCTCATCTCTTCCTCCGTTCAAGGAATATAAGCACACTTCCAAAATCAATGACGTCAAGGAAGGCTCAAGCTATTCCCATAACCGGCGCAAAGAACAAAGGCGCCCTCGTCGCAAGTGGTGTCACATTGGGTGTCACGACTCGAAGCAAAGCAAAAGCTACTTCTGCCACCTCTTTCACCTCTGCATCAACTCTGCCAGGGGAACGAGAGTACCCTAGGCATGAGCATGTGATCACTTTAGCCTCACTAAGGGCACCAAGGGGGGAAAGACCAAGGGAATACTCCGAATCCATGCTCTCCGATGACGATTCAAGCGGCAGTTCAGCCATGCAAGTCATGACCGCTGGAGCAACTTCAGTCGAGGAACAGCTTGCTCAAATGAATGAAGCAATCGCAAGACTAACTCGAACTGTGGAAGAAAAAGACTTGCAAATCGCGGCATTAGTCAACCGACTGGAGGCGCAGGACAGTGAGAAACCCAACCCAGAGGATGATCCGCCAAAGGGAGGAGCTGGCAGAGACGAAGAACCCCCGGTGAAGAAAATCGATGGGAAGCCGAAACCAGACCAAGCAGCGGCACTCATGGGATCCCTTTCTATCCAGCAGCTGCAAGAGATGATCACCAACACCATCAAGGCACAGTACGAAGGGAGCTCATATACATCCGGGTTGTATTCAAAGCCGTATTCAAAGAAGATCGACGCCTTAAGGATGCCGAGGGGTTATCAACCACCAAAGTTCATGCAATTTGATGGAAAGGGAAACCCGAAACAGCACGTCGCCCACTTCGTTGAAACTTGCAACAACGCAGGAACCGAATGGGACTACCTCGCCAAGCAGTTTGTGCGCTCGCTGAAAGGAAACGCCTTTGAGTGGTACACGGATCTGGAGCCTGAGTCCATCAACAGTTGGGAGCAACTGGAGCGGGAATTCCTCAATCGCTTCTACAGCACCCGCCGCACTGTGAGCATGCTAGAGCTAACAAGCACAAAGCAGTGGAAGGACGAGCCAGTCATGGACTACATCAACCGATGGCGTAATCTAAGCCTCGACTGTAAGGACAGACTCTCCGAGATTTCTTCAATCGAGATGTGCATCCAGGGCATGCAATGTGGTTTACAATACATACTTCAAGGTATCAAACCACGAACTTTTGAAGAATTAGCCACCCGTGCCCACGACATGGAGTTGAGCCTCGCCCACCATGGAAAGAATGAGCCAATCACCGATTTCAAAAGGGATAAGGTATTCACTTCAAGAGCAGACAATCATGGGAAAAAGCCCGCCAAGGAAGCTTTTACCACCAATACCACCCCTATCAAGACCTCGTCCGCGCCCGTCAAAATCTCTTTCAATAAAGCAAGGGAGATAAAAAAAGGCGAGCCTTCCCACACCCAAGATAGGTACAAAAACACCTTGAGGGAATTGGAGCAGAAGGTATACCCTTTTTCGTACTCCGACATGGACGCAATGCTGGACGACCTACTGGAGAAGAAGGTGATTGAGTTACCCGAATGCAAACGCCCTGAAGAAATGAATCGCATCAATGATCCCAAGTACTGCAAGTACCATCGTATCGTGGGTCATCATGTGGGCAAGTGTTTCATCCTAAAAGAACTCATCATGAAGTTGGTACAACAAGGACGGATTGAGCTCGACCTAGAAGACACAGCTGCGACGCACACCACTACGGTCGTGTTCGGATCCTTTGATCCCGTGTTTCTTTAAGAAATGCTTGACCATGCTCGGCAATACTCAAACCACACTGCACATTCTGCACCACCGTCACTGGGGGCAAGCAACCAGGACGCACCTACTGACGATGACAAATGATGGACATTGGTGACCTATAAGAGGACGAGGAAACCAAAACCGCAAGCTATAAAGCAAAAGGGGGAACAAGGGAGAAAGCACCGCCGTCGCGGTAATAGGAAGCCTAAGAGAGACATAAGAGCTGCTAAGCCAATATATGCTGGGGAACCTGCGAAGCAAAAGCCACGCATTCCCGTCTCATTGCACGAGTACTTCCCGGATGACTTTTTCCAACATTGCACTATCACCGCATGTCACGTGGTCGAAGTAAAAATGGAAGAACCCTCAAAGGGCAAAATTGTCGCCGCTGAGGGAGAAAATACTCCGACACCTGAAGAAGGTCTGCCAATACACTTTAGCATCGAGGAAGCGCTACAATTGCCAAAGAAGATACGAAGGGCATTGGCAACGGTTTTAGCGAGTCCAAACGACCACGAAGTGCAAGAAAGCAAGAACGAAGGCTTGAGGCCTCGGCCACACGAGTGTGCCACATGCTGTGCCACCGAGGACACAATCCACTTCGCCGACGAAGACTTGTTGCTAGGATCCAAGCCTCACAACCGACCTCTCTTCGTCTCTGGGTACGTAAGGGAGCATAAAGTCAGCCGCATGCTTGTGGACGGCGGGTCAGCCATAAATATCATGCCAAAGTCAACAATGACCGTAATCGGCATCAAGGTGGATGAACTATCCCTAAGTCGTCTACTAATCCAAGGTTTTAACCAAGGAGGACAAAGAGCGATGGGCATGATCCGAGTGGAGATGACCATTGGTGAACTCAAGTCAAGCGTGATGTTCCACGTGATTGATGCAAGGACTTCCTACGGTCTGCTCTTAGGAAGGCCTTGGATCCATGCGAACGAAGTGGTACCGTCCACCCTTCACCAATGTTTAAAATTTTACCAAGAACGAGTGAAGGTGATCTATGGCGACACCAAGCCATTCACCGAAGCCGAATCACATTTCGCAGACGCCAAGTTCTACATGAATGAAGACACGGTGCCCGAAACTCTTCCAAAAGAGATTAAATCCATGAACAAAGCAACAAGTCGTCACCTTCACCTCGTGCCTGCTTGCAATATGTTCGAGTCAACCTTCAAGAATCAAGCCTCAACGGCCCTTGAAGAAGCTTCCAGCCAAATTCGAAATCAAGCCTCGACGGCCCTGGAAGAAATCACAAGTCCGATTCAAGATTAAGTGTCTACCACCCTTGAATCAAAACCTAGTTCAAGAATAAGCTGTGGAAAATCAACAATTGGAGGAATCTAGAAAATCCTTCAACCCAGTTCAAGATCAAAGTTGTGGAAAGTCAACAAATCGCAACAAAATACGTGTCGATTCACCCACTACCAAAGCCAAAAATCATCTACCACATGAAGCTCCTTGTGGTCCAATTTCAACCTTCAAGATCAAGCCTCGACGGCCCTTGAAGAAATTTCAAACAACCTTCAAGATCAAGCCTCGACGGCCCTTGAAGAAATTTCAAACAACAATTCAAGATCAAGCCTCAACGGCCCTTGAAGAAATCTCAAGCCCAATTCAAGATCAAGCCTCAACGGCCCTTGAAGAAATCTCCAGCCCAATTCAAGATCAAGCCTCGACGGCCCTTGGATCGACATCTACAGTAAGGGACTTCAAAACGCATCTCCTACACGTGACAAGCACATGTATACGACGTGCCTTGAAGTGGGGGCATTTGTAGACATCGAAATTTCGTAAATAAATGTTGACCGATAAATCAAAGTGTCAACGCTCATGTATTACATAAATTTTACACGTAACGTGTGACTCAACGAAAATTGAAATAAGTTGGAAAAGTCATCAAATAGGACACGTGTCAACACCTGGCAGAAACGACTTATTTCATCTGGAATATTATATTCAA